ACGGAGTTAGAGCTTGATTGCCTCAAAACCAAAAAAAAAACAAATCACAAAATAAATTGTATTTTTTTTAGGTCGTCGAAGAACAGGGAGATTACCTGATAGTGAGTAATCAGTGCCGCCCATTGACACCCGTAACAGAGGAGTTACGAGAGCGATGCTGGCCTTTTGGGGATTAGGTAATTGGGGAACCGGAGGGTTACCGGAGCCCCAATCCAACCCGGATTGGGCCTCGGGTAACCTCACTTACACGACGAAACACAACGCAGTGGTTGTTTCACGCGGGTTTTCTGTGAGGCCGTGGTATCACTCCGGTCGAGCTGACCCATTTGTGCCGAAGCATGGCTCCCCCACACTTGTATATGTCTGAGTAGAAGATTATGGCAAATGTGTTATGGAAGGGATGACTAGTTCCTGATAATTTTGTTATATTGTGAAAAAAATATGCATGCACTAATTTTTCAGGGTTGCAGGTCAAGCGCAGAGTTGTGGGTCAAGCGCAGTACCTAATGTTCCGCGGCCCCGTCATGGAGCAGGAGAAGGAATTAGGTGGTTTTTAGTCAGTAAGGGTCTCTCTCATTCAGCCCAGGCAGGGCGAGAAAAGTCATTTTGACGATTTTCTTTTATCCAGAAAAATATACATTAAATTAGGTATCCTATTCATTTTTATATTATGTTTTAACCACGAGTTACCATATAAGGAAACATTCTAAACATCAATCAGATTGTACAAATGCTACCATTACTAGAAAAAAATGGGCGTACTATAACACCATTAGCGACTCATCTAAGAACAAGAAAACGGTACACATTGCTACACAAAAACTATCCTTCACAATATTCTTAGCAAAAAATATGAAACAAAAGATTCGCTATATTTTCAATGCGATTAACCTTACGACATAGAGGCGATTATTCTTTGGCGGTACTTATTACATTTTTCTTTTGCTAAGTCCGTAATGTACGTTGACGGGCGAGAGCAAAGACTTTTTGTTCAACGGTTGCTTGTTTAATTCATTTCTAATTAGCGACACAGTTGCAAAGGAAAAAATGTCTCCTGAATTATGTATGTACCGTTGTGTTTTAGTGAGGTTAATATTCTACGGAATTTTATAATCTAATTGTTTTGGATCATTCCCGAAGCTAGCAGATTAATATTTTCGTATAATACTGTAATAGTTCCAATTAAAATAGATGCGAAAGTTTGACTGACTCTGAGAAGTAGTACCTAAATCACGTAAATATTTTTTCGGAATATTGTGTTCAGGTTGTTTTGTTTTTTTTTTTGTTTTCATGCCATGGCTATGCATCTGTAAACTATAATTCAGACCTTCCACTAAACACTTCCAAAAAATAAAAATAAAGCCCACGGACATTGAACAAGCAAGGAATACTATGAAAACAAGTCTTGACAAATTCATTTTAAAAATAATATTACAATTTAATAATTCATCATCAGCTCACAATTCAATGTTTTAGTCTAATCCAAATTGAAATTGAAGATGTCCCTTCGGATCTTAATCTCTTTTGAAATTTCCTCTTATATTATTGGCTATGATAATATTTATCCACGCTGACATTTCTATGTTATTGACGCCATTTTGCTTAGCTTGCATATTTTAACATTTTAAAAGTCAAGTCGGAGGCTGGAGAGTTATAAAGACCATTATAATCTTTTTTATAGAAGAGGTGTCTAATATTTTTCAACACAGAGTAATAAAAAAATTATAGAGAATGAGAGGTGTTTAATTCCAACTTCCATACATCTTTTTCTTAATTTACTTCCAAATGCCTTGCCCTAGTCAAGATATTTAAAGATTTTCTTGATGTAGATGATTTACTAAGATCTAATGCAATGTCCTATAATAACTTTGGGAGTACTAAAAAATTCAAGGCACTCGGAAATTCGAACTAAATGACGCACACGTACAGTTAAAGAAATAATACAATGAATATCAAACAAAGAGTAAGATAACAACATATTATTTATCTTTCCGGTCAAAATTTTAATTTTAATCAAAATTTCACATCGTCACCTGACAACTGACACAATACAAAACGTTTCGACGCAACGAAATTAACCAAAACCTATCTTCGAAATTTTAGCAATCACGACGAACAGCTGGGAGTTATCGCTTTCGAGACAAACGATTCAATATTGAGATACACAGAAGGTTTATTTTGTAACAGAACAATATTGAAAAAAAATCGTCGAAAATAACTGGCAATTAAAGTTTTGATTAAGAAAATAATAAATCATAATACAAATATGGAATCACATTAGAAATAAATAATAGAAAAATGTATGTTTTTAATAATAGAAGAATAAAATATTTTGTTAATATTTTGGAACAGAATAAAATTTAAAAAACTTTCGGCATAAATAACTGGCCATTAGGGTTTCAATTAAGAAAATAATAAATCATAATACAAATATATAATCACATTAGAAATAAATTATAGAAACAGTTATATTTTTCTTGCTCAATTAGGAATAAAATATATTGTTAATATTTTGGAACAGAATAAAATTGAAAAAATGTTCAGCATAAATAACTGGCCATTAGGGTTTCGATTAAGAAAAAAATGAATCATAATACCAATTTAGAATCAAAAATTAAAAATAAATAAAAATTAGGAACAAATATGTATATTTACTTTTCTAGTAGGGGCAGGAAACAACGATAATCTAAGTACAAAATATTATATACTTGGACTTATGGATATACCTACATCTAAAATACTCATTATGTCACACAACTTTGATAGAATTGAAAAACAAAGTCCTCTGTTTGTAACAAAGTGTATTGATTGTAGAAAATAAAGAAGGTGTGACGATATTTTTTTCTTTTTTCTCAAAAAGCATTGTCTGCGAAGGTGTGCATTTTCTTTGTTATGTGTAATAAACCTTCTGTTACCTTTAATTTCAACAACGTAACGAGCACAAGCACCTGTTTCTGACGCAAAACAATATTTGTTGAGTCTCATTATGGAAATGTGTGCCATTTAAAAAATAATTTTACAACAGAATCCTTGGAAGACTTCATTATTGTTAATATTTTATGTTATTTACATCTGTGCAATAAAGCCATATTATATTTTTCTATATAAACATATCTTATAAAGTGATTTTGGTTGAGTAGTTGACATTAGTAATTATTGAAAAAAAAATAGTTTTTTGTGTCAAATGAACACCCTGCCAGATCTTTAACAATCTTATACTTCATAAACAATAGTTTCTCTTTCAAGTATTCTACAAAAAAAGTTCCATAGAAATGTAAATTTCACATAAAATAAATAAAACACAAGAACTTGAAAGGAATTTCAAAAGTCAAACAAATTGTATTAAAGGAGCAAGTGAAACTTTTCTATCACACAATAACTTCTGGGCGAAAGGACCACTTAGGTTCTCGGAACAATTTTAATTTACTCACTTAATATTTTTTTACTCGGTAAACTTTTTAACGAAACTTTTCATCGTTCAAATAAGTTCGGGTTAATTTTTGCGGGACCTCGAAAAAGTTTTAATGTGCCCGAACCCAGAGTTCTGTTAACCATGAAATTCGAAAAGGAGGACCATCAAATTTTTTAGGACAATCTTTTTGGACATAAAACGTAAATTAATCAAAAAGTTCATTGGAAAACGCCATTCAATGTTCATGGTTGTAAAAAATTACGACGATAAATGTGTCACCATGGATTTAGTTTTGTCTTATCAGAAAGGGCTTCTGACGAACACCAAAAGATAAAAACGACAGTGATGGTCGTAAAAGAGGATATCTTTTTATTCGTTTCAGAGAGTCTGGTTCGAACGTAGCGTTACTTTTGTTCTGTGGTTTGCCTCCGAAGCATTACTTAATTCAAAAATATTTCATGCGAATTAATTTTCAGCGTATTATTTTAATTTAACATTTTTCATAAACGTATTTTCTTTAAGACTTTAATTCTCATGATTCAGATAAAAATATCATCTAAAATATTTACCATTTGCATTTTGAATCAAATAGAAAAGAAAATAAGTCACATTTTGTAGAATTCGGTTCGTATTAAACTATATTAATAAAGAAATGGACTTCCATTTACTCGGCTGTATTTCAAGAGAAGTCTCAAGGTGACCACTGCCTTAATACCTCTTAGAGCCACTTACGCCAGTGAATTATTGGTTAGTTACTTGCTCACTCACCGACAAGCTCTACTCTAACCCCTTTCATTACTAGCACGGAATACTAAACAGCTAAACGTATAGTTTTCCTATATTATTATATTCTAGAACTTCGGGAAAAGCAATACAAGAGTATGTTACATATATAACGAGGTATTCCTTTGTTTGGATTTTGAATATGTGGGTTGGGTTCCTTTAAACCTCCTCCACGTCCACTATTAGTGTTTTCCACCATCGTACCACCAGAAAATCCGCAAAACGTCATAGTTTCACGGTAAATATCTTACCCACACGCACGAAGAAGTTCTCTAAGAAATGGAATACTTTGCCGGAGTCTGTATTCAAGTTTTCAAGGCCCGAGTGAATAGGTTGCTTATGGATAGACGTGCTCCATCGTAGAGAGCATCATCGCTTACCAGAAGGCGTGATGAGGCCAAACGCCTGCCCATAACGAAGTAAAAAAAACGATAGTTCGATCAAATTAGTAGATAGATCAAATAAGTGCTAAAAAGATCAAATATTATACCTTACACTGATATTTTTATAACACAATTTCAAATGGTCTATCCATATAATACATACAGCTGAATAACCGATAAGCCGATTTGATTGATTGATTGACCGCGGCTTATAACGCTAAAAGGAAACACCCCACCAAAGCATATTGATGTTAAAAATATTTCCATTCTACATTTTCATTGTCTGCCAGTTTCCAGCAAATTTTGTTCACAAGACCGCACTTTTTTTTTTTTTTTTTTTTTTGTGAGGGGAAAATCATCAAATGACTTCTCCCGCCCAGGGCCGGGCAGGAGGGAGTGTCAGACTCTTACTGACTAAAAACCCCCCTGTTCCTTCTCCTGCTCTGTGCCGAGGTCGCGGTACCTTATTGCGCTTACCCCGCAACTCCGGCTGAACATCAGCCCTTTAGGGCCCCGTCTGTGGTGGTCTATTGGCTCTTTGAGGCGCGCGCGGAACGCTACGCGCCGTACGCTCGGGCCTGGTTCTGGTCGGGCGGCGAGCTGCCCTTACTCGCCGACCGCAGGCCCGTACTTACGGTGGCCGGAGATCGTCCCTCGATCCCCGACGCCCGTAGTGTCGCCAGTTGCGGCTGCTGGGGCGTGAGGAGGAGGATTGCTCCCTCACGCGGGCCGCCTCTCTCTTTGCGAGCATGACTGCTTCACAAAAGGAGGAGACGGCGTCCCAGTTCCTCTCACTCCGCACCATGGCCTCGACTAAGGCCGGGCGCGAGAGGTCGCCGCCGCCGATCACTTCCCTGAGGATACGGCGGTGCTCAGCCCAGGCAGGGCATACCGCTACCGTATGCTCCACCGTGTCCTCTAGGTGGTCCTCACAATGACGACACTCGGGCGTTTTCTCCCGCTGAATCCGAAACAGGAACCTACCGAAGCTGCCGTGCCCGGTAAGCACCTGCGTCAGACGGAAGGTGAGGACGCCGTGGCGTCTCTCAAGCCACTCCTCAAAGAGGGGTCTTACCGCTGCTATGGTAGCGTGCCCGGCCCTCGGTTGCGACAGTCGTTGTCTCCACTCTGCCATGAGATCTCGCCGGAGCTCATTCCGCCACGCACTTATTTGGCGCGGCAAAGGATCTTCGCCCCGGCTACGCGCGTCTGCGCGCAAACTGTAGACGCGCGCGAGCGCCTTCGCTTCTAGATCCCACGGCGGTGATCCGGCAAGGAGGTTCGCCGCCTCCCCGGAGATCGTGCGATACCCGCGGATTACTCGTATAGCCATGACCCTCTGGGACGCGACCAGCGTACGAGCCGGCCGCCGCTTCAAGTCCGGCGCCCACACAGGGGCACCGTAGAGGGCCATGGATCGCACAATCCCCATATACAACCTCCGGCAGGAGGCGTTTGGCCCCCCGAGGTTGGGAAGGAGCCGCTTGAGCGCGGCCCCAGACCGTTCCAACTTAGGGGCCAAACGACGAAAATGCTCCGTGAAGTTCCATCGGCTGTCGAGGACGAGACCCAGGTACTTCATCGCCGACTCGACGCCGATGGTAACTCCTCCTGCCGTTACTTGGGACCCACCTGGAGGTGGCGCGCTCCGACGGCCATAGAAGCACATGGCCTCGGACTTGTGGAGCGCCACCTCGAGTCCCAACTGCCGGATCCTTGCAACGACTGTCGCAACCGCTTGTGACATCAGGTCGGCCGCCGCCTGATGCGACCTCCCGTTCGCCAGCACCAGCGTGTCGTCAGCATAGCAGACAATGCTGACGCCGCTCGGGAGGTCGGTGCGTAGCACCCAAACAAGACCGCACTTAAAACTCAATTCACCAATAGATTTCTAGCCCATAGCTATGTTCGAAGATAAACATAAATTTTTCACGTATTATTTTCTGAAGGCACGTGAAAATACCTTTCTTCCCTCATTTAGAAGCTTTTAGCAGTAATCCTGACGGTGTCGCGGAGTGGCGCACTATCGTCTAGGTTTTCATGTTTAATTAAAGTCCTGCCTAATTAGTTAGCACTGCTATACTCAAAGCAAGGAAAATGGAAGAAATTTTCACAAATATTTTTGTCTTCAAACCGAATTCTTTTATTTGTTTCTTGTTGTATTTTTTGTCTTAATTTGTTTTTTTCTAGAGTTCTTAACTGATTGGATTAATAAAATAAACTTAAGTTTGTTAGTTTTGCATTTAGCTTAACGATAACCATAGTTAAGATTAGATTAACGGAATTTCTTGCTTTTTCTTCTTCATACGAATCTACATTTTGGAATGAACAATTCACTTACGCTTAGACTGATAGACTATTGTTCTATTTGACGTTTCAAAAGTATTCATATTAGGTTGAGTTGGAATAAAATACTTTGACTTTGTCATAAATAATTTGAATTCGTCCCTCTTATATACCTATACGAATGTAGTCTTTTCACTTACCTTATATAATATGCCGTTAAAATTTATAGTAAGTAGTATCAAATATCTATAACGTTTTTTGAACAAAAAACAAAAAATAAAAATATTTTTTCGTATCGACCGATATAATGAAGGATGAACTTTTTAAAAAACAAAATATAGTTTTGCAGTTTTTACGAAGATAAAAAGATATAATACTTTATTAGCTACGAGTTCCCTTGAGTCAGTACTATTTTATGTTTCTTCTACAATGGACGAAGTAATGTAATTGATATCGGTCTTGTAATATGTAGAATATTATGAGTGATATGTCAGAATATTATTTATATTCCCGTTCAATTGACGTATAACTATTACTACAGGGAGCAGTTTTTGTTCAACGGAGCTGGTAAAAAGTATGTGAATAACATTTCTTCGACTATTTTTTACTGGTTACAGCATAATATGTGTTGGGAATCTAACATTTAAATATAATAATAATATAATATCGGTCAAATTAGCATTAAGAAATTAAAAAATAATTATTTCAATGTCTTTTTTTTATATTTTCATCACCGCATCATAAATTAATTTTAAATTTGATATAAACATCTCCTTATCTAGTCATGATTTTACCATTCGACCTATCTTTGTAGTACCAACGACCGAACGGTAGTTGTGTTATTTTACTATGGACCTACCTTTACAATATAGTACCACCTAGATAATAATAGTTGCGTTGTAGGTACAAATAAAGCTCTGGTTTAGAGAACCGAGTTACTAAATACGGTTAACATTTCATTTCACCTGAAGTCTTTGAAATTGTATCCTGCTAAACCGTTCAAACAACAGCAACTACGATGGTATACGTACAATACTACGCTAAAGTTACAGTAACACAATTACAAAAGCAATGAAACAGTAAGATACCTCAAAGCAAAGGAAAATTTGGCTAACATGATCCTTATAGCCAAATTTTATTTGTTAGAATTACAACTTCATTGTTTTGCTATAAAGTTGAGAGTCCAATGAAAAAACTTGACAAATCAGAACAGGTTGGCTTGCTCGCTACTCTACCAAGATAACATTAGCAAAAAGGAAACCAAGTCTTATAGATTAGAACAAAGTTTCAAATATTAAAACTACAAAATAAAATAAACCTTAAACACACGAAAGTCCACGTTTACTATACAGAAATTGCATGGCATTTTTATCTGTTGAAATTTATGCTAACGACTGGTGTCAGAATGAGGAATGGCTTAATACAAAATCCAGGGGATCCGATAATTATATTCGTGTACCTGTAAACGTTTCCAAAATACAGGCTTTATTTTAGGGTCTTTGTAAATGGAGATACATGTAATGTGTTCATACAGTACAAGGTTATGAAAGGATATTGATTATTTTGGACATCACGAGTTTGCATGGTTTTGCTGAACGCTTTAAATGGAAAAGATTCTAGTAGTATTTTCACGCTGTATTACTGCCATCTGTGGGTTTTGTCCATTCTGTGGACTTTTCGTTAAGTGTAATAAATCTACATATTTGTATTTATATTATACATTTATAAGTACGCACTTATAAATGTTATAATTAGCGCTCAACAACGCCACGACTGACATCTTTTTTGTTTCATTTGTTATTAAAATGAGTCAGAAGAGATTCTTGTAAACAAAAATTTTCAACATTTTCGTCGTAAGTGTGATAGTTTTACAACCGTGCAAAGAAGAGGCTAGTAGATATATAGTAATCAGTAAAAATAGTAATAAAGGCCCACGTAAAAAAGGCATGTTCATATCACAACAAAACTGTAGCGGTAGCGTTCTTGTCTTATTTCAAGCAAAATGTCCCTTGAAATAACTATCTCAATAACGTCCTCTATGCAGAGCTCTGCCGGCTCGCCAGCATTACTTAACGTTCTCATGCATGCTCTTTCATTAGGAGAGTTTTTCATTTCAACATCATTTGGCCGAGGTCCAAATTGTTCTAGATACTCCCAATTCATCTTACTCGGCGAATTTTTGTTAAAAAACTCCTCAAGGCTTCTGGAGTATTTATTTATCCATTTTTCTGCAAAACCTCTATTATTAAGTAGTCAAAACTCTCATTAGTAATAAGGTTATCATGGTCCAACCAATTTTCGTACTGATTAATAACTACATTTGTATTTTAGCCCGTATTATAGAAACGTTTTACAAAATAAAATCTTAATTTTGTAGCTGTTTGATTGATTGAAAGACGGTTTTTGAAAATGTTATACGGGCACAATTTCATTTAGCATTTTGATCACGTAAGCAGCATCGTGACATTTAAATCTGTAAGGCTTTTAAAAGGAGTGCCAAAAATACTAATCCAAGAGTATTCAGTTTTTCATTGCTTATTATCCTAACAAGAAATGTTACTCTCAATTCCCCTCCCACAAATTAACCCTGAATCTTCTATAAAGCACGTGGGAGTAGTTCATCAAAAAATCCGTCGCTGAGCAATTAAATTCACTTGACGTAACACCGAGTCATTCTGGTCGAGTTCCCTTGCAATTTTTTACGTGTTTCCCCACAAAAAAAAAAATATACTCGAGACGAAAACAAATCATCCTTTGTGAGTCTCCTTTTGTCGCCTGTCCCGAAAATGTTACCGAGTGGGATCTTAATTAAGAAACTGGGTGATTCAGTTAAAGTGTACCTCATTTTGTTATGGTAATGTTGGACCTTTTTGATTTTTGGGGACGAAATGAAAATAACCATGAGATCATTTTTTATTTTTTTAAAGTATTCGGATATTTTTATTCAGTACTTTATTTTTTTTTTACTTTTCGTGCTTATAAAACTTATTGTTTATTTATTACCGAGCAATCAATACTTTTCTATGTTTTATACACGTTTTAGTTCCATAATCTTGTCGATCAAAATCCTTTACATAAAATCGTGTCACGCAAGTCCACTCTCCCCTCTTGTCGGTCTTCCTGTTGGTGTAAGTAGGTTACACGTCCCCTTTATTTTGTACATGTATTCCTATAAGAAACAAAGTCAGTCAACTACCAACGACCTTTTGACATTGCTTATTGTCACGCTACCGCTTTTGTCTGGACTAAAGAAGGGACTATGTTCACATCAAGATAAGAAACTGTAACAATATTTATAAACGTGGTAATTTCGTTGATTGTTTTTACTAAATGTATAAGATTTAGTCATTTGCATTTCGTGAACTTAAGTCAAATAACCTTCCTTCAGATACAGGTGGTGTTTAAAGGGTGGTGGGTGCAAGCACAACTATGTACCATGGCCCAAGTCCGGCGCAAGAGAAGTACTTAGTGGTCCTTAGTCAGTAAGAGAATGTCTGACTCTCCATCTTGCCCCACACAAGCCGTTCACTGATCCAAATCGGAATACATGAGAAAAAAAACCTAATTAAAAATAAATATATTGTGATACATTTAAGACAGAAAATTGACGATAAAAAAGCATTGATGACGTCACGAATCCGATAATTTTAAAGCATATCATCAGTCACATAATATCTCCTCGACTCATCGTAGGATCTTTTCCGATCTTAGGAAACTTTACTATCTATTCCGTAAATGTATGACACACTTATTTTGAGAGAAAGTTCTCGTCCTATGTATGGCGAGAGGCAGTGTCAGACTCTTACTGACTTCTCCTACTTAAGCCAAGGCCGCGATACCCAGCTACATATAAACACTTAAGAGTTCAATGACTCATATCTACAAAAGATTGGATTGGATGCAAATGATTTTTTGTAACTAAGCATTAAGCATTAATTGCACACTTTATTACCGTGCACAACAGTTAAACAAGTTCTTAAACAATATAACATGAAGTGCAGAGACGGGTACGTAATGGACTTGTTAATTGTCGAGCTTGCGATTACGTTGAAATGACGTGTGTGCATCTATTAATGCGAATGCACTAATTACCAAAGGAGCTGACGAGGCACTTTAGAGACGTACTAACTTATATCAGAACTGTTATTCCCCTAAGGATTCAACAGAGATATTGAGATAGATAGGTATATTAATTTCAAGTGAACTACAATAAAGATACTCAATATACATAATAATATATAATAAACATAAGAAATACATACATGAAATATTGAACATACATAATGTGAATGGACATTGTTTTTGGAGGACTATATTGGACTATGTTGGAGGACTCAGTCTTTTTATTCAGCATTTATAAGTCTTTGAATGAACTTGTCTTATTTTAAATATGGAAAATTTAAATTGGAGTTCCAATATTATAATTAAAAAGTTAAGTTCCTACTCCATTAAATTTATCACTTAGTCAACAATAATAATAAGAATATTCAAAAATAAAATTGCATTTTCTTATTTTAAATTCGCCAACTCGGTTCACAATATAGGAGAATATTCAAAAGAGTCTTGAACGGAATTGCCAAATCATTGCATACTTGGCCAACGTCGAGTTTAGCACGGACAGGGACAGTATTGGATTCTTCAAATGTATTTTTGGCTTTATATTTTAAATTAGCTTCGCATATTGCAAAATTTTCTTCCACCATTTTAGTTGTTCGGTCTATTTGAATTCTAAATTTGAAAAAATGTTATTTTGTAAAAAATGTATTTCTTATAAAAAAAAAACAATCTAACCTTTCAAAACACATTATCATCCTATAAGTGCCCACTGCTGAGCAAAGGCCTCTTCTTACAAGGAGAAGGTTTGAGCATTAATCGCCACGCTTGTCCAAGGCGGATTGGCGATTTCCAGCTTATAATTAGAAATTATAAGTCCAGGTTTCCTCACGATGTTCACCGTATGTCAGTGGTGTGTATATTATCATAGAAAGTACATATAACTCGGAAAAAGTCATATTAAAACTTGTCAGGTTTTGAACCCACTCCCTCAAATCTTTGTAAAGGTTGATGATAATTGTATTCTCCTTCAAAAAATTACTCATGGATTTGTGCATTTTAGTGGTGTGTTTTAGGGTTCTTTTTGAACAAAGCTTCCTGTAACCTGACCAGTGAGCAGTTATATTCCAGTCCTATTGTACGTAAACTCCTTTTATTTGCACCGCTCGCGTCCTGAGCCTTTGATATTACTTTCAAAAGTTCTTTACACAGCAATTGACAGACAGCAAAGCGACACTTTACAAAACACAAATACGAAAATTCAAGCAAATAAAATTTTGTAAACGACTAGTTACTGGCTCTGTATTTTCACTTGGTATAGGAAAGCTAAAAATGTGTACGAAATCCTTTAGATGAACGCTTTTATTAGGCAAAGATTTTATATCGATTTTGGACCCTAACTATATAAAGTTTTTATCGGTTATTCATATGGCTGCCTCTAGTAAGTTGAAATTTATAAAATGTGTTTTTGTTTTCATTATAACACACCTTTTAGACTTGTTCATAAGTAAGCGCACCAGTTCTTTTAATTTTACTGTTACTGAAAGCACCGTTATAAAAATCAAAGTCGGAAAATCAACTTACGTCTTATAGTTGTTTATAGACAATACTTCGAGAAAGTTCTGAATAGTTGCTCTAGCGGAAAAAATGCATTCAGTGCTGTTCTTTCTTTCTTTGACCTACTTTGAGTTCAAGTAAAGTTGTTCAATATCAGTCGTTTATTGTCATCGCTTTGATCTCGAAATTTGCTGCAAAAACAAAATTCGCGAAAGGTCGTAATTATGAAACATAAATATCCTTCGTTCTCTTCTCATCAATATACATAAAGTGCTTATCTGTCATAACGAAGGGCTGGTTCCCCTTCATAAAAAATATAATTAAAAACATTACGACGGGGGAATTTTATAAACAGTCGTTTTTCCCAATTACCTTGACTATGAAACCGAAATATTTGCTTTGATGTCGCGCCGGAGATAACCCGTTGATTAAAAATTACGAGAAAAAAACTTTTCTTTTGCAATGTACCAATGTACAGGGTTGGCAAAATTGATTTTTAAATAGTTGAAAACTTTTGAAAATTCATTGAAAAATTTCACTAGAATGATACTATAGACAGAGTTTTGGTATCTGGAACTAAAATATTTTTGTAGCCGTTTTTTACACCTAAAATTTTTGCGATGAAATACCTAGAATTTTTACACTGCTAACTTGTATGACTATAAAGTGTATTCAACAGAGTTTTCATACGGTTTTTAGCGTAGCTTGAGCAAGTATTAAAAGTTTTTAGTGGACAAATTTATTAGGTGCGATTACCTATAAAAATATTGTTACACAGGACTTTATTAGAAATTGATTAAATATTTTATAACTTTTTTTTGGTTTAAAATATCGATAATACTTAGAAAGATTATTTTTTTAGGAAAATCTTTTGAATACAATCGAGGTCGTATTTGTAAACAAACAAACAATATAAAAATAAAACAAGAAAGATCATATACTCAAATTCCGAATAAATGTTAAAAACAAAACAAATTCAGGCTGGAAAACGTTGGTCGATCCATTCTCATCTGAAGTTGAGTGAAGGGTGACTCTATATGACCCTAAAAAGGGACGAGAAAAAATTGAGATTTGACCAAAATAAAAGTACAAAGGGTGCGATATTTTGTATGTTGTGTACAAAGTATTATATGTAGCTTTATAACTGGCTTTATATTCATAAGCGGGGTTCATAACGTGTTATCCACTTAATCGGAATACATGTGTTCAGATTAAATTGTTTTCTGGCTATTTTGAAGCAAAAAAATAATTGTTTGTAACCTTTTTTTAACGAAAGTAATTTAATTTGCATGCTTTTTTATTGTTTTTTTTTTTAAATTGGCGATGTTGTTGTCATGTACACCTAAAGCCACCGATAGGTACATTATTACAATTAATCCTTTTCATATTCTACAATAATATTTGCTACTAGTATAGAAACGTGAATGTTTGGATTGGGTGTTTGTTTGTTATTCTTTCACACAAAAAGGGATGGACCGATTTTGTTGAAATGTAGATAGGTGATCCGTGAGTTAACATACAAGCTAGTTTTACACTGGTGAAGCCGCTGGCAGTATCAGAAACAATACAGTAACGTATTTGTGACTATGGTTTTTAAGGACATTCTTGTTTTTTTTTAATGTTGATAGATAATCCCGTATAATAATAGTAGCTTTTGTTCCGTTCACTGATTTTTAATTTAAAGAATCAGTACTAACAAATAAAAACCAAATATTACTTTTTTACGACGACACTTTGGCAATATTTGGACTCTCTAGGCCATTATGAGTTTGTCTAGCCACCATCAAGCCAAAGTCCAGGTCAAAGACTGGCGTTAGTCAATTGACCACTAATCTAATCCCTGAACAAGGATATTGGTTTTTATTTCTAACATATGCGAAGTGACGTTGACTTTATCAGCATTTCGAAAATAACTGATGGCAAATAAACATGTGTCTTTGTCTTTTAATCATGACCAATTGAATATTATGTACATTTTACGTGTTTAAGTAAGATTTAACTCACCATCCAACTCATATCCTTGGCCACCCCACTGTGGCAAATCCTGAGAGTAATTCTTGGGGTCACTGCGACTTCCTATAGATATCTTTAGACTTTTCCACAGCTTCATCTTGACAACATATTTGTACACAACACTGAACACTATTCAGTACAACACGTCACTGAACATTTTGTCACACAGAAACACTGTCACTCCAAATCCGGATTATCTGTAACAAAAGAAAATTACATCATAAATTGTTAATTGTTTTTGCAGAAATGCATATGCATTCAGTCATCTGATGTGCACGCATAGAAACTTACAACTCAGTTATTAAGGAAAATGAAAAAGTATTAACATATCAATCAATAAAAGAAATTGAGGGAAAAGATCATGGAAAACAATTAAATTATATTGATGACTATCACAACAATGGCATTAATTTTGAATGTTTCAAAACTATATTATGATTTTTATTTTGAGAAACAGATACAAACATCTAGCCTTACTGACGAACAGACAGGCAGACTACTATTCTATTTTGACGTTTCAAAAGTACCTATTTCTGGTTTAGTTGGAATATATGATTTTGACTTTGACGAACAGGAATTTTGCAAAGACCGAGGTCACGATTGAATTGAACGAAGATATGTCATAGAACGACAAGACGCTATTTGAGCACAGAGCGTTATATTTTTGTCATAACTACATCTGTGTTATGGAATTTAACCGAAGTGGCCTGGTAAAGCGTATAACAAATACCAATATGACTGTTTTTGGGTCAAATGTACTATCTAAATTTTATGAAAGTCGTAATAATTTCTAATTATAAGTTGAAAATGTCCAATCCACCTTGACCTGGGCTCATGCCTCCTCCTTCCAAGTAGAAGCTTTTGATCAGCTGTGAGAACTTTAGGCTGAAGATGATAAATAGTTAGAACTTTGTGCTACTCCACTTTTCATTTATAAAAATGCTTATTTACATATTCTGTAAATTTAATAAACTAGAAAAAGATAAGTCAGATGCCAGAGTAAATCTGGTTTACAATCAAAGTTGAATTTAGAAAATAAGGGATGAACCTAATAATAGTAACATGGTAAACTAGAAATGAACTGCCCACGTATTTACAAAATGTCAAGTTAAAGAAATGGGTCGTTCAAATACGTAGGCAAAGGTCATTCTAGACTGGCAGGTTCTTAACGGATTACTTATAAATGGAATAACAAACTCTCTTTCACTTTCAATCTCATTTTTGTCAGAAGGCAACACTCAATTGAGTGGGAGAGTAATGCTTCGGCACAAATAGGTCGGCTCAACGGGAATGATACCACGGCTTCACAGAAAATGTTTGTGTCTGTTTCGCCGTGTGAGTAAGGTGACCAGATGGCCATTTTTCCCTCCATCTGAAACCCTAATCCCTAAAAGGCCAGCAACGCGCTCATACGATCTCTGCTGTTGCGGGAGTCTATGGGGACCAATTCATGTAATCTGTAAACACTATCAATGCGCATACTACGCATTTATTCAATTTCTACTTTACGAAATTTCATTTTTTTAACTTAACCGTATGTCTTATGTTTTCCTTTTTTAAACCTCTACTAAATAGCTGTATTAATTTATCATCTTCAAATGTACAAATTGCATTCCGGACGCATAAATAGGAATCGTTTGGCTTCTCGACACGGGTCACTACAGGCCGTCAATCAGACAAAGACATGGTTCCTTGAATACAATGGAGCTCAAACATCTACTTTTTTAATGGCTCCGACATACTTCCATGAATATAAAATGACTTTGTAAATAAATTATTCATAAATCAAAGCGTGATGAATGAGCATATCGGGAATAAAGGTTATTTGGTTGGAATCAAGGGCAGATTGTGTTTCTGCGTCAACGCGGTTATTAAGTGGAAATGTTGAGACCCATCATAAGCCTGTTTCCGTCCACTGCTGGACTTGGGCCTCTCCAGTTACACGCTTCTGAGCTCGATGTTCAAGACTTCTCGTCCAAACACTGCCAGCCATTATACGGATATCGTCACTCCACCTAATGGAGCAAAAGACCTAGACGCGGTGTCCACCCCAGAACACGTCTACCCCAACGATCACTTATTCATTAAGCCATTGAAAATCAGTCCTTATCTCCCCATAATAATTAGTCCTATAATAAATTACTTTTGTGACGCAGACGCATAAATAGCACACACTTAGTTTACTATGTCTCACGATAGTAAAGTTTTTAACCTATATACTTAGTCGGGTCATAAGTTCTGTCACAAACTTTTGATGTAATAACTTATACGCCTTTTGACAATTATTTAAAAATTATATATGAAATGAAAGGTCATTAAATGTACAATATAATTTTATTTACATTATTCGAAATGCCCTCCCCCATTTTGAACACATGCCCTTAATCTACGCGGCCAGTCATCGATCGCTGCACGCACCACATTCATATCTATGTCTGCCGCTGCTTTAACCAGAGATGCTCGGAGAGACTCCAAATTCGGGTGAGGTTTAGCACAGACTTTTTCCTCCAAATATTGCCATATCTTGTAGTCCAGTGGGTTTAAATCTGGACTAGAAGAGGGCCAGTCTTCATGCCGGATGAAGTCAATTCCACGAGCGATCAACCAGTCTTGCGTACTTCGTGCCTTATGAGCCGGTGCAGAGTCCTGTTGGAATATCCAATGCCTGTTCCTGAACATTGTCTGAGAAAGAGGTTCCACTATGTTTGTTAGGACAGTATTTTGATAAACTTCGGCACTAGTTCTCACACCTTTTTCACAGAAAAACACCTGAGTTACGCCTGAATATGAGACTCCAAGCCAAACCATGAATGAGGAAGGGTAATGCCCACGCTGGACCCTCGCAATACGCGCGCTTGCTTCTTCACTGCTGTGGGCATACACCTTATCATTTTGTTTGTTAAAACTTTCTTCAATAGTAAAAATTTTTTCATCCGAAAAAAGAATTTCGCGGTATTTTTTTCCCGCGTACCGTCGTAGCAAAGCGCGGGATCTGTCTAGCCTAATTTTTTTTAAACGCTCGTTCAAAAAATGTCCTGTCTTTTTACGATAAGCTCGTAGTCCCAGGTCTTCATTTAGTACTCTTTTAACAGTGGTTCTGCTTAGCCCCATCTGCAGAGCTAGGATTTTTTGTTTACGTACGGGATTTCGTTCGATTCGCGCCTTCACTGCTTTGATGACCTTATGTGTCCGAACTGTGCGAGGTCGGCCGCTTCTCTTACGATCTTCGAAGCTTGACTCTTCGGTGTATCGTTTGATAGTACGATAAACAAACCGTAACGTTATTTTCAAATTTTGAAGAATATTGAAAATGTCTTTTGGCGCGTAACCACAGCGGTGCAACGCGATAACCGCGATTCTGTCTTCTTTATTCGACCACTCCATATTTAAAAATGAATAAAAAATAATTTCTTTTTTATTTTCTACAAGCGCGAAAGTTCTATTTTTAAAATAAGTCGAAGAATTTCTGGCCAGTAATCGAAAATTAAAAATATAAGGTTTTGACAGAACTTATGACCCGACTAAGTATGTATGTAAGGTCGCATAGAATCTTATCCCACGTAGGGAAATTCATAAATATTATTCGAACTTCAATAACTTTTGCTGTCAAATAAACGTACACATCATAATTGACTATGGCTTCTTCATTTTTTATGTATTTATGGGTAATCATATCCAATATGCTTTTTCTGTGAAATATTCAAGCTTTCTTTTTTATTTACCCCACTTTCAGTGACTTGCAAAATCGACCGGCTTGGAAATACATATTCGAGTAGTGTTGTGAATGTTTATATCGATAGTTCCTCTCTAACCCATTAAATTATTACTTAAATATCGTCGAAAAATATATTTAAAATTATGGCTGACGAAATAATTGTTTTAAATAATCGTCTACATTGTGTAATAGTTTTAACATTCTGATAGTTTACGCAATTTATAAAAAACTATATCGTTCACTGAGTGAACATTGAAATGTTTTTTCAAGTGCAAAAGCTAATCATTATATGCGATTGCAAATTTAATTCATGAATACATGCATATCATAAACATAAAAGCCACCTGCAGGCATCAAAATAATTTATTGTCGAACATGGATCCTGAAAAATATGATCGATTCGATAAAAATATTTGTTTAGTCGATAATAACGATGAATCCCTATTCGTCCGAGCTTACCCGAGTTGAACAAAGTAAAGTCGAAGATCGGCCAAGTGTAACAATGCAGAATCATAGTGATGTATGAAAATACTCCCCTACTAACGTTGCCAAAGAGAAAACTGTTCAAATAACAATGATTTTGTATGGACCAAAATTATTAGTTACTGGCAAACCGGCCGACTTTAATCGGATCGAGTATTCTAGAAGTAACCAAAAAAAAAGACGTAAACTGTCATAATGTTTTGTTTGTTCACTTTTTCCTACCAACACATTATTTTAAGTTGTTTTTATAATAAAATTTTTCAAATGAAACTAGTTAAGATCTCATTACATATAAAGGTAAGGTATCATTACATATATTTTGAGTTGTTAAGACACGTCTTTTCAAAAAGTTTAAAACAACTCTAAGTACAGAAGGCAGGTTATAAACAAATGAAGTTATATTATAGAAACCCGGCATGAAACATAACATTGTGTAATGTTTCACTGTGCGATGAAAATAACCGAAGAACCAAATCCTTAATCCTCAAACTCCTATACCGCAAAAGGTCGGGAACGCACTTGCAACCTTATTTTGTGATGCGAGTTTTCATAGGAGATGCCAATTGCTAACCATGAAAAAAAATCTTTAATTTTATGATATGGACTAACGTCTGAAATAATAATGTTTATTTGTTGTAAAAAGGTAGATTACAAAAAATATATCTTAAAATCTAGAACAAAGTACAAACGAAATAAAATGATTTTATTTTTTATCTATACTTATATTATAAAGAGTTGAAATTTATAAGTTTGTATGTAGTGTAGGGGTTAGAACGTTAGAACCGCTGGTCGAATTTCCAAAATTTTTTTCTTTCACTGATAGTTAGCTACAATTTTCCTGAGTGCTATAGGCTAGAAAACAACACGCTACAATGAAATGGAGTCGAGCAGCGGGTGAC